AAAAAGAAAACAGCACATGCTTCCTTGGTTATACAGGTAGTATAGCACAATTGGGATCAGAATTTCTGTTGCTAAGCAAGGCAGCTCTTAAGGGAGTCACGTCAGATTTCAAGAGCAGTCTGGTCAATCCATCCTCATTTTAATTGTAGAAGCAAAAATATCTCAAATGCATACAAGCTAGCTCTGCAAAACTAAAAAGGAAGGAAAATGTCGTTTAAAAAAAATAGCATTAGAACAAATTTTACTGTTCAATATATTTAGAAATAAATCCTACGGTACTATTATTTCCAGGTAAATAAGATAGAAAACTGGAAACTATATTAATAATAGGAGGGGTTGAGAAGAAATAAAACATATGTAAAAATAAAAACAGACCTAGCCACATACAAAAAACTAAAGCCCCTCCCTTTTTTTGTAGCATTTACCAAATTAATTCAAATTTAAGGCAATTCCAAATGGTCAGCCTTCAAGCACTACCTGTGATTTCTACAATTAAAATGAGGACGGATTGTCCAGACTGCTCTGATTTCCAAATAGGTAAATATACCAAGAATTAATGGGAGGGAACATGCTTGTGAATCTACAGCATCTACAGCATTTGTAGAGATCTACAAATGATGAGTACTTGCTCTTCCTTGCCAACAATGGTCACTGAGAACTAACAGTGTAACAGTGATTGTTTGCGGGCCAGCAACAGGTAGATGTCTCAATCAGTGATTGAAGACATACTATATAATGGAGGAAAAAAGAAAACACTGTTTCTTTGACAGCAATACTCAGTATTTGAACATAAGATTTTTTCACAAATGAAGGCAAATATACATGTCCCAGGATAATGATGCAAGATCGAATTTTGATCGAATTTGGCCATGTAGGTACAAAGATAGTGAGGGAAATGACTGAGGCCTGGGAAACGGGCCCCTTGTCAGTTAACAGGAGTGCTGAATTACCACCAGCTTATCAAATACTTAGGAGCCGAGGGCTTGGCAGCACAAGAAAACAACAGCCAATCAATCACCAGCCATCAACACACCAATCAGCCAGCAGGACAGCACCACATAAACACGACTCTCAAAACAGTCCAAAGCACATATTTCAGTAGAGAGAAATTCCCTGAAGTTGGGCTCCAGCATGAGTCCGAAAGCTCGGAAGAGTAAATATCTGGTCTCAGAGACCAACCCAAATTTGAACTCACATAAGATTTATTTTTTTTTTGGGTAGAACTACTGTGATAATCAGAGTTTTCTCATAATGTAAAATATCAAGTCACAGCATGGGTAGAGACTTGAATCAATCTATATAGGATCTGAATGCTAATCAGAAAACTGATATCTGGGAATGAAATATCTTTTGTCACTATATACTGTAGATGTTCAGGTTTCTTTCCACCAAAATTTTAAAACAATCAGATGTGTACTTTAGAATGGGAAATGGGAAAACAAATCATAAAGAAGCAAGACTAATAGTACCTTAAAGAATAGCCATGCAAAATAAATATATTAATTAGGCACTTTCAAGCAAAAGTACAAAAAACTAGCAAGAAATGTAATTCAGTAGAAAAAGACAAGCTCTACTATCCTCATCATTAATTCAGTGGTAAATAAACGATAAATTAGAACAAATAATTTTCTTAACAATACTCAAAAAGTAGATGATTCAGATTTATTGAGAAATAAGCAGAATATATATTAACATAAAAATTTTTAGAGATAAACCTTCTCTACTTATTGCTGGTTCCTATTTTCAGAATCAAGGTAATCCAAGAAGTGGTAATTATTTTCTCATCTACTGTAAAAATAGTCCAAAACTATATCATTATAGTCTAGTCTATAGTACAAACATTTAGAGTATCCTGATTATCAACTCCATTCTTTTACTGAATTTTGCTCTGCTACCTGCAAATTTCTAAACCAACATTGGCCCAAAGAGATTTAAGCAGAAATACTTGGATTAGAAGATCACATATCTCCAAAGTTCTGTATCTTTTATAGTTCTATTTACAACCTTAATACTACTTTGCAATTCTGAAAACAGCACTACAATACAGGTAATCCTCACTTAATGACCCATCACTTAACGACTGGCTGAAATTAAATCACTACCAACTATTACAAAATGCCAGGTGCCCCCTATGTGCACATGATCACTATCTGGGTGCTTAAAAGCCTGTTTGGACTTGCAAATGGTTGCCAAGCGTCCTGTGATCATGTGATTGCCACTTACAATGTTCCCTGCTGGACTCCCCAGAAAGCCAATGGGGAAACTGGGAGGATAGGTTGCAAACTACTGCTGGGGGCTGGATGAAAGAGGTTCATGCTGTTTGTGCCTGCCTGAATTTTAGCAGCCATAATTCAATGCATGGAGCCCAAAATCCCTCTCTCCACTCCTGCAGGGAGCTTTGCAGAGGCAGGAGAAAAGGACACCCACCTCCATGCCTGCTTGGATCTCAGCAGCTGAAATTCAAGCATGTCCAGAGCCCAAAATCAATCTCTCCCTCCTCCCGCAGAGAGCTCTGCAGAGACAGGAAAAGAACTTCCAGCTCTGTGTTTGCATGAACTTCAGCAACCAAATGCAAGCAAGCATGGAGCTCCAAATCCTTCTACAGGCACAGAAAGGGACTCTGTTCGCTTAACTATCTGTGAGATCCTTTAATGATAGCAACAGGAAGCACACTGAGTGAAATAGTCATATGTGCATCTTGCTTAATGACTGCTTTGCTCAGAGACCAAGACTCTGGTTCCAACTGTGATCATTAATTCTAGGGCTACCTGTACATCTTTGTTTTGTTCAAATCAAAAGGTACATTCATTTGCAAATAACACATTCTCTATGCATGTCTAACAACTTCTTTATCTGATGAGAGTAAATTAATAAAGCAACTGTTAATCTGCTAGCTGATGATGTGTTTATCTTTTAGGGATACTTGCTTTATATACTAACTTACCTTATTCTATTATTGATATTTTAATTGAAAACAATTGAAAGCTTCTTTGCGAAGAAATTAAACAAAATTGTTTAAAATAATGTGAACTTAGCATAAATGCCCAACTTACATGTATACATTATTCTGGGTTCAGCAAACTATAAAGACAAAGGGAGACTGTACAGAAACAAGTTATCTAAAAAAAACCCAGCAATCTTGATTCCCATTGACATGGATGGTATACATCATTTATTTTATTTTTGGTAATTCAGTAATATGCATGCATCAAAAGAATTACAACACTGTAAAATAGTAATTTCCAGGCCAAGGAACTGAAAGCAGGGGGGGGGGGGAATACAGAATGATTATTAATGGATGTTAGGTTTTTCCGAACCAGACCGACTGCACAATTAAAAGAGCAATAGATCCTTAATCTTAACAGGTTTTGGGGATGTGTTTATTTTGGTGCGTTCCTACCTAGGAGCTCGCTTCCCTCCTTTGTTTAGAATCACAGCAATTCCATGTTTGCTCGATGATGATAAACAAACAAGCAGAAATGAGCCGATTAAGTACAATTAGCCACAACTTCTCCCGCTTAAGCTAGGTAATTATGGAGACCTCTGATCGTCTCGGCTCCGAAGCCGCTGCAGGGGCAGCAACAAACCGCTGCCACCCGGGCTCCTTCTCCTCGGATACGAAAGCTAATTGGTGTTGATCTCCGCATCTGCCCCCAGGAGGAACGACTCTCCGCGGAGAGAGCCCGGTCTCCAGGGGGAAACGACTGGCGCCGCATCCCTTCGGAGCCACGGGGCGGACTAGGAGAGAGAGACAGGCTTAAGGCGAACTCCCTCACTATGTGCCACCTCTCTCCCTCACGCCGGGGAAGCGGAGGCCGAGGAGAACTGATCCAGGTCGCGCCGAGTAACGGCAGAGTAACGGCTGCGCCCGAACGCGGAGAGAGTAGGAGGGACGGCGGGGGCGACCCCTTCCGCGCGCCGAGAGGAGCTTAAGGGAGGGCAGCGCCCGCTTGCCGCCTTGCAGTTGGCTGGCTCAGCCAACCTCATCCGCCGCCAAAACCCAGAACCGTCCGCGGGACGCCCCTCCCAGAGTTCCTAAGAAACTACCGCCGTTACCTCCCGCGAATCCAGTCAGCGTTTCCCCAGCTGGAACACGGACGCTTGCCACAGAGCATCACCTTAGCTTCTCAGTGCGCATGCGCCCCGCGTCCGAACCGGCAGGCGTCAAGGAGCAGGTGTCTTCGCCTGGCAGCCTCGGCCAATCACAGCGGGACGCTTAGAGATTTTAAAGCCAATCACGGCGAAGGGATTCATTCCCATCAGCAAACTAACCCAACCCCGAATCGGTCCGCCGTTCTTTTGAGAATTTAACATGGGCGGCCTGTCCAATCAGGTTGTAACTTTTATTGCTACTGACGGAAAAACCCTAAATTATTTTCGCAGACGATTGCAACCACGGTTGCGGGTTTAGGTCCAATACAGACCGTTGAAAACTCAATTGTCCGATTTCGATCTGGAATTTTTAAAATGCATTTAAAAATCAATGCATACGTCTTCCTGCAAAAGTAACAGTAACAGAGCTGGAAGGTACCTTGGAGGCCATCTAGTCCAACCCCCTGCTCACGCAGGAGACCTGTACTAGGGATTTCCACCGCCGAACTGCTGACCTTTCTGATCAAAGTGAATGCAATGCAGAGATTAATATGTTAGACTGGGGTCTGGAGACACAGTTTCCAACCCGCACATTATCATAGTCTGTTAGATGACTGTCGCTCAGTTCAGCAGATCTCGTTCGTGAGATGTTTGTTATGAATTTATGCAACTGGAATTCCAGAGGATAGGTGAATTACAAGTGTAATTTATTAGTGTTAATGAATAATCTAGCCAAAAATAAAATGTTTGATCTTACTTTTAAAAATAGCTACTTAAAATGAATCTAGTTTTGATTATATTATTGTATTTTTAATTATCTATATAAAATTATCTGTTACAAGAAAATGACTTATTGAACAATGAACTGCTGGTTAGATCATTGGTGGTTTGCCCCCGGTTCGCACCGGTTCTATAGAACCGGTTGATCTGTCCCCGTACCCACACACACACACACACACACACACACAGCCAGTCGAGGGTTAAGGAAACACTTTGGAACGCACCCAGGTCTTATCTCCGACTTGGCAGCGATAGACACACCGTCTGCCAAGTGACTTTATTTTCAAAGTAAAACAAAAAGATAAATACTCAAGAGTCCCAAATGTCTGACACTTTAAATCTTTCTCTCAGCAGCTCCGGACGAGGCTTTAGTGACTATTCAAGGTTTGCTTTGTTCGTCACAAGGATCCTTTGACCTCTACCCTCTATTATATAGTCTCTGGGGTGTGGTCCAGTGACTCAGTTCTAATCCCTAGCACGCCTCCCAAGCTGCTGCAAACGTTTATCACGCCTTCGGAGGCGTGCGTCCAGGAATGATGTTTCATTATCTCTTTGATTCGAATCAGCTGTCTCCTCTCCCTCGACCGGCACTTGAGACAATGCCAGAGGGGAGGGGCCTGGAGAGGGAGGCCTGGCTGACTCCTCTTCCTCATGCTCGGAGCTTTCTTCCTCCGATGGGACAGGCTCAGAGGGCGGGGCCACAACACCGGTAGTAAAATTGGCGGGAGGCCCCGCCCACTGACCCTGGTGTCATGAAAATGCTGCTGTGCATGCGCAGAAGAGTGCACGCGTGAGTGGCCCCATTGTGAACCGGTAGTAAAGGTAAGTAGAAGCCACCCCTGGGTTAGATATTATTTTATTTTTCCACCTTTTCAAAGTGAAATATTTCTTTTTCATGGGTTTCCTTTTCCAACCCACTTCCCAATCTTTAAAACTGGAAAGTTTACCCCTTCTCAATGTTTAAAATCTTTTCAAATAACCCAATATTTGTTTTATTTCTTTTTATCAGTATCACCCAACAAAAACTGAATGAATGCTCTTCCTTAATCTGGTGGCCTCCAAATATGTTAGTTCTAAAACTCATAATTTCCAGATGCTATAATTGACAACCAGGTTAAGATAAAACATGCCTGATTGCAAAAGCTTCAATAGAACAGGCTCTAGGCTTATTTTAAACCTACTACTGAAACTCTTGTGTCAATATGGCTAGAGTGATACATTGCTTTAAAGAATAATGTGGTTTATTTTAGTTTATAATATTGTGTTAATCTAGTTATTGTGATTTCCAACCAGGTTTTATGGTTTAACATATTGAGCAAACTCAATTGTGATTTATTCAAAAATAAATCAATAGCACTTAGACTTATATACCGCTTCACAGTGCTTTACAGCCCTCTCTAAGCAGTTTACAGAGTCAGCATATTGCCTCCAACAATCTGGGCACTCATTTTACTGACCTCGGAAGGACGGAAAGCTGAGTCAACCTTGAGCAGGTCAAGATCAAAGTGCTGGCAGTTGGCAGAGTAAGCCTGCAATACTGCATTCTAACCACATGGCTCATGGTTCAAATAAATTCTGTCTTATTGCGGTGTATGAGTCCAGCTGTGAATCCATCCATCACAGTAATGTCTTTAAAACTAATATGAAGATACTTGACACAGTTTTATGTAATCACATTCATGAATGTGGAACACCAGTTTCCAATATATTTTGGCAGCATTTAATTCTGCATTTAAATTTAAATTAATCCATTAAAAGCTGCTATTATTGATCTATTTTTGCTTTATCACTAGTCATACCTTTAAGATAAGGTTCAGAAATATTTCATTTGCATTAGATAGCTATTCATTTCTGCTCAAATAAATGGATTATTGATACATGTCCATTGACATGTATCAAGTGATGAAACCAAGGGTTCTGAAAGATCCTATGTTATTGATAGTTTATTACCTACATGTTAATTAGATAGGAGGTGATATGAGTACTATTACATGAATCAGTCAATCAATCAAAATAGAGCTGGAAGGGACGTTGGAGGTCTTCTGATCCAATCCTCTGCTTAAGCAGGAGACCCTACACCATTTGAGACAGATGACTATCCAATCTTTTCTTAAAAACTTCCAGTGATGAAGCACCTACAACTTCTAAAGGCAAGCTGTTCCACTGGTTATTTGTCCTCACTGTTAGGAGTAAGCAATTCCAGGTTGCTTCTCTCCTTGAGTGGTTTCTATCCATTGTTTCTTGTCTTGCCTTCTGGTGCTTTGAAAAATAAGTTGATCCCCTCTTCTTTGTGGCAGCTCCTCAAATACTGGAATACTGCTATCATGTCAACCCTAGTCCTTCTTTTCTCTAGACTGGCTATACCCAATTCCTGCAACAGTTCTTTATATGTTTTTGTCTCCAGGCCCTTAATCATCTTAGTTGCTCTTTGCACTTTTTCCAATATCGCAACATCTTTTTTGTAATGTGATGACTAAAACTGGATGCAGTATTCCAGGTGTGGTCTTTCTAAGGATTTATAAAGCAGTACTAATACTTCACTTGATTTTGATTGTATGCCTCTGTTTATACAACCAACAATTGTATTAGCTTTTTTGGCTGCTGCCGCATATTTGTTGTGGCCCACCAGCTGCCAGTGGAGCTGGCAGCAGACTCGGATGATGAAGAGGTTGGGGAGGAACTTGGGCCAGTTCTGAATCTGGGGAAGGCTCTGATGGACTCAGAGATAGAGCCAGGACCATCCGACATTTCCCAGCCACCAGAGAGGCAGCTGCCTTTGGAGGCTGAGATGAGTGAGGAGGAAGAACAGCTGGGGCTGTTTCAGATGCACGTATGCACAGAGCAGTTAGGAGAGGTGAGCAACAGAGGAGAAGGAGTCGACTCGGGAAGCAAAGCACACATGTATACTGAATGGCCCCTCCCTGGTTAGGGAATAAATAGAAGGAAAGGGGAGTGGTTGTCATAGGAGACAACAGTTCATATTTCTGAAGATTTCGCTCATTGTGTTTCGTGCCACAAAGACTGCTTGCTGGAACTTAATTTGCAGCCTTTCGGCTGGGAGCTCACAGCCTTGCAATTATTGCAAGGAACTGATAAGGTCTGTCACTGCAGTTAACTCCTTGGAGGGCTATTGCCTGTACTTTTCGGTGGGTGAATGCAGTTAATTCACAAGCGGTAAATAAAGAGGGGTTTTTCGTGACAAGGAGTCTGTTTCTTGCTTCTGCTAAGGCTGGGTCAGAACACTACTGCTGATTCATGTTTAAGTGATCGTCCACTAGGACTCCTAGGTCCCTCTCACAGTTACTGTTCTTGAGCCAGGTTTCACCTAATCTGTACTTGTACCTTTGGTTTTTCCTGTCTAGGTGTAAAACCTTGCTTTTCTCCACATTAAATTTCATGTTATTGGATAGGGTCCATTGCTCAAGTTGTCAAGATCTTTTTGGATCCTGAGCTTGTCTTCTGGGGTGACCTGCCAGCTTAGTGTCATCTGCAAATTTGATGAGTTCCCCTTCTCATCTAAGACATTTATGAAGATATTGAAGAGTACTTGGCCTAAGACGGAACCTTGTGGCACCCCACTGCTTACTTCCCTCCATGTAGATGTAGTACTCATTGAGTATGGTTTGTCAAACAGTTACAAATCCATCTGGTGGTGATGGTGTCTATCCCACATTTTTCTATCTTACCAAGAAGTAGATTGTGGTCTACTTTGTTGAATGCCTTGCTGAAGTCTAAGTATATTATGTCCACAGCATTTTGTGGCTCCAATAATTTAGTCACTTTGTCAAAGAATGAAATAAGATTGGTTTGGCAGGATCTGTTTTTAACAAACCCATGCTGGCTACTAGTTATAACTTTGTTTCTAGATGTTCACAGATCTGTTTATTATTATTTTATCCAGTGTCTTGTGAGGTATTGATGTTAGGCTGATTGATCTGTACTAGTTTCCTGGGTCTGTTTTATTTCCCCACATCTTTTCCGATCCTCTGGCAATTCCCCAGTGCTCCAGGATTTTTTAAAGATATGGTACAATGGTTCTGAGATAACATCTGCTAGCTCCTTCAGAACTCTGGAATGAATCCATCAGGTCCCAGTGATTTATATTCATCAAGTTCAGACGGGTTTTCTCTTACCATTTTTTTGCTTATTTTAATTTTTATTTCTAGTCTTATCTTTTACAGTTACGTTTTTGGTAGGTTGAGCTATAATTCGTTTTTGCGTGAAGACTGGTGCAAAGAATGAGTTAAGCAGCTCTACCTTCTCTCTACTGCCTGTTACTTCCTTGCTATCTTCTCTCTTTAGTGGACTGATCGTTTCCTTGACTTTTTTCTTGTTATTTATATGTTGAAAGAAACTTTTTTTAATTATCTTTGACTTTTGTTGCAAATCTTTGTTCATTCTAAACCTTTGCTTTTCTCACTTCATCTTTGCAGATTTGGGCTATCTGCTGATATTCTGCCTTAGTTGTGTGTCCCTCTTTCCATTTTTTGTACTTATCCTTTTTGTCTTTCAGTTTATCAGAGAGATCTTTGTGCAACCATGCTGGTTTCTTCTTGGATTTCTTGTTTTTCTTTTTCAGTGGTATTGTGTTGGACTGGGCTTTTATGATTATATTTTTTAGAGTTTCCCACATTTCATATATTGTATTATTTTGTATGACTTCAACCAATACACAGTGCATCAAGTGGAATAAGGTATATAGATAATGTAGTATCAACATTACATTTTGGAGCAGGAAACTGAGGTAATTTACAAATATAGTAGGAATAAGTCTTTTAATTAATGACATTCACACTCTAGAATTCTGTGTACATAACATATTCTATCCCCAGAAGCATGGCTAGTCCTGAACATCCATTTATTCCAAAAGGCTTTCAGTTCCTTGAATGACTTTTGGCCAACATTATTTATTATGTTAAATCATTATTTTATATTATGTTCTTTCCATTAATTTTTTCTTTCTTTTTTTCTTATTCTGCACTATTCAGTATTTGGGAAAACTATAAAGTAAATAGTTCAATGTCTTGCAAAACAATTCTGCATTTTTTTGCACATTAATTTTTCATTTTTACTCTTGATATAGTTTAAGTAATCGTAGCTAGCAGCATTTTTACATATTTTTCACCTATATAAAGTTTCCATAGCAAACCATGTTGAACTTTTTTTAAAAAAGTCCGAACTTACTTGCCTGAAATCTGATAGCTGTTATCTCCTTCAGAAGACTTATTATGTTTTCAAATTTTATTAAGTTATGATCGAAGAGTATATCTCTTCATTTCCATAATTCCACCCTATACTCATTAAAAATGACAAATCTTTTTCTCCTGATCCAGTATGAAGAAATATGTGTGAAGAAATATTTGAGCTCCACAGGCAGGGTGGATTTGATTTAAATCAAATTGATTTAAATCACGATTTAAATCATGATTTAAATCACTAGTAAAAGGCTTGATTTAAATCAATAAAAAGAGCCTTGATAGTACAGTGGTTACGCACCCTGTTATTAACACAGCTGCCTGCAATTTACTGCTGGTTCGAATCTCTCCAAGGCTCAAGGTTGACTCAGCCTTCCATCCTTTCTAAGGTAGGTGAAATGAGGACCTAGTTTGTGGGGGCAATAAACTGACTTTGTATAAATATACAAAAGTATGAAGGCTATTGCTTAACGCATTGTAAGCCGCCCTGAGTCTCCGGAGAAGGGCGGCATATAAATCAAATTAAAAAAAAACAAAAAACCTCGATTTAAATCATAATTTTTAAAGAGCAACTGTCATCTTTGCTACTCCTTTGACCCACTGTTGACTCACCGATAGTCCCAGTGTTGCAGAATATACAGCCTCATGCTACATAACTAAGCTCCATTTCATGCTGAATAAACTAAATTATTTATGTATCTTAAATAGAAAACTATCTTACGATAGATTTTACCCCCAAAAGTTTTTTATTAAAATAAATTCGATATAAATCAAAAAAATCCGATTTAAATCAAAAAAATCTGATTTTTTTGATTTTTAAAAAAAAATCATTGATTTTTATCCACCCTATCCACAGGCCTGGGTGGATTGCAGTCTTGGCCTTTCTCATTTTGGACAATGTATTCATTAAATGTGTTTACTGCATACAATTGTAGGAAGGAGAAAATCTATAGGACTGTTTTCAGCTAGAATTGGCAAACCTAGCTTAGCAAGATATAGAAGGTGGAAAGTGCACAATTTTTTTTTTCTTCCATCAATTCTTCCTCGAGAGTAAATATCTTAAATTGAATAGAACTATGCCAGCTGATGATCTGATGCAAATATGTGTGTGTGTGTATAAAGTTTTATTGATGGAAGCATGAGATAAGACAAGTTCAATTATTACACTAGGGGGTCACAGCCCAGAAAAATGTCAAAATAAAATAATTCAAGGAAAATTAAAATCTTGATCAAATATTTCATAAAATTTGTAATCTGAAAGAAAATATAAAAGTATGTCATTTTTATTTGTTTTGATGTATTGCTAATCTACTATGCTTTTGTTCACCTGTAGTTTTAAAGCTGGTATATAGATGTGCATTTATTCATAAATTCTGTTGTCTATAACAACATTTTCTTCTATTATGTTTGTACAGAAGTATAGCCTTTTTTGTTCAGACAAGTTAAACATTTTAATAAAGAGCTTGTTGGCAATAAATTATAATTATTACATTAATTTCATTTATTTCAAAAGTAATATAAGTCAATATTCTCTATGCATAACGTAATTAACCTCTCTCTTAGTCCCACCACACAGTACGGTATTAGGAAGAAAATAGCATTCTATTGTTGATAATTTTCTTGCTACCACTAGATGGCCGTGTTTCCATACTGCTTTTAGATTTTCAAAATCTCAAAGAAGTCTGTTATTCTTTATTTCAGGTCTGTATAAATACCTGCATTAGGAAAAAAAAGAGGCTATTTCTCAACATGGTAAGTACAAAGTACGTTTACAATTCATATTCTCTCAATATTTTTACACATTTTCCTCCAAATATCTCAGCATGGTATTTTGGAAATCTTTGAAATATAATAATACCCATTTAAAAATATAAAATTTCATGCAGTAATTGTATCGAAAATTCTGACTGAGGATGCATCAAAACCAGGGAAAAAATTAAAAAAAAACCTATTAATAGGTAAATTTTTGAAAGTGCTACTTCATTATTATGTTCATTTATTCTGAAAATTAAATAAATGGAGAACAGCTTACAATCTCTCTAAAATAGAAGTTCAAAAGAATTGTGAATGCAAGAAACAGAACAAGTTTGAAAAGGCTCTGTTTACTCCAAATTAATTACAGAAATATATTCCTAAATGTATGAAAACAAAAATATTTTTAAAATTATTGCAATGGTATTTAAGGCGATGGTAGGTTAATTATCTCAATAGTCTAACAATCTGTACCTACCTCGCTTAGTAATACCCATTTGGAAGAACTAGAATGGATAAACAAACGTAAAGCTTTTATGTTTCCTAAAAATGGGGGAACGGCACCTTCTGCTACTCCATCTTCAAAGTTATCTATTAATAAATGAAAATATTACTTCTGATGTATGCCAAAATTATTTTTTAGCATAATATCTTGCCATAAAGAACGAAAAATGATGTGCTTTAAATCAGAGTACAAATATTTGTGAAGATAACTGACATTCATTTTCAGTAAAAAGAATTGCAAGCCAAGATTAAAGAGAGCCAGTGTCTAGTGGTTAAGGTACCAGGCTAGAAAGCAGGAGATCATGAGTTCAAGTCCCACATTAGGCCTGAAAGCTGGCTGGATGACTTTTAGCCAGTCACTCTCTTTCAGCCTAACTCGCTTCACAGGGTTGTTGTGGGATAAATAGGAGATGTGTTGGGTATGCTTGTTGCCTTGAGTTATTTGTAAAAATAATAAAGGTGGGATACAAACAAATTAAAAATAAATTAATTTGTTTGTATCCCACAGAACCAGCAGTTGAATTTTTGAAACCCACCACTGATTTGAATGACTTTAAACTTGAAACATATACTTTACATGAGGTTCCCCTTGAAGACATCTGGCAGCTTTAATTGGTGCAGAGTAGCTGCATGGACAATTATGTGTGTCTCTATTATGGTGCATGTTATATCTTTTGTTCTGTAAGCTGCACTGGCTGCTGATCTGTTTCCAAGTGCAATTCAGGGCCCTAGTTTTGACCTTTAAATTCCTACATGGCATGACACCAAGTTATCTGAGAGTCCACTTCTTCCTGATTACATCTCCCTATCCCAGTGATGGCGAACCTTTTAGACTCCGAGTGCACAAACTGCACGTGTGCGTGTGCACAGACATATGTGTATGCCTGCATGGACATGTGTGTGCACATGCATGTGCACAGACATATGTGTATGCCTGCATGGAGATACGCGCATGCACAGCCAAGCCCCAAAGACCAGCTGGCCGGTGGGACCAAGGACATCCCAACACCGGCAGTGTGGTAAGAGGTAAGATCTTTTTCTTTCGTGAGCTTCTGTTTCATCGTTTGCAGGGAAACAGAAGCTCACCAAAGAAATGCCATGGAGATCTGACCTGAGCCAGAAACCCAAACTGAAAGGAAGAAAGGCTAACACTGTTCTAGAAATGCTTTAATACAAATTTAAGCACAATTTTAAATAGATAAATTCTACAACAATATTGTTTTTATTTGCATGTTTTCATGCTACCTTTAGTTTTCATTTCATTTTTCTTAAATAAATTCTAAGAAGAGAAAAATGATACTTTAACCAGTGGAAAATAACTTTTGGATGCAACCTGCTACAAGTCCCTCCCTTGTTCACTACAACAACATTGAAAAATAGCAATTAAACCAGAAGCATTTTATATATATTGTTTACCTATCTGAAAAAATCCATCCCAAGTTTTTATGATGTTAATGTTGTTTGCACTGTTTCTTACAGTCTGTAAATTAATATCCTGAAACAAATAAAAAATAAAATTCCAACCAGTCTCTGAAAAGGAAAGCAACATCTTCTTGATCACATTTCTGTTATGTAAAAATTCAGCTAGAGCTCAGTGAAAATTCCCCTGACTAGTCAGCGAGGGTCGATGCTTATTGGTGTGTTTTAAAAAAACACCACCACCAAATCTCTCTAGGAAGAAATTTTTGCTCTGGCTAGGTGACATAATTTCCAACAGGTTATTCCAAATGAGGAATGTTGTCAAATTGCTGTTTAACCAGAAACAAAGAAGGGGCAGGAAGTAATAATGAAGGGGACACTATAATTGCTTGCATTATGTTTGTCATGATATCCAACTACTACAACGAAAAAAAAAATTCTAAAGAAATTTTAAAAGGCAAATGGTTATGAATGACTTGACTAGACTAGACTAGACTAGACTAGACTAGACTAGACTAGACTAGACTAGATTAGAAGAATAGAATAGAATAGAATAGAATAGAATAGAATAGAATAGAATAGAATAGAATAGAATAGAATAGAATAGGAGTTGGAAGGGACCTTGCTCAGGCAGGAAACCCTATCCCATTTCAGACAAATGGTTGTCCAATTTCTTCTTAAAAGGTTATCCTTTATCAGAATGTTGAAGAAACTGTATCCTATCTAGAGGATAGCAGCCTAATAGATTAGGGATAGTGGGTAGAAATATAAAGCAGAAATAAACTTCTCTTCTTAGTTTTCTAGAAAAGCTTCACATAGATATGGGCAGAGATACTTACCTTACTAGGTAAAACTTCTACAGTAGCATTAAACAATATGTCTTTACGATGCTCAGAATTTCCACTTCTAATTAAATATCTGCAGAGCAAATTGCATAAAAGCATGAGGAAAGTTACCATTAATATGAAATCATGGGCTTTTATGGTGAGACATGTTCACCTATTAGGCATTATCCAGCAATGTCAGGTAACATTCTCTATATTTGCTATTTTAGTTAAAAACATTACAGATCACACAAGAAGAACAATGGAATCTTAATCTCATTTGTCAATTTCCCCATTCAAATGACTTATTGGAACTTTTTTTCATTTGAGAAAAATTAAATCAAGTTAGTTAGCCAATTTTGATGTGATAAATTACCTTATTATTTTCAATGGTTCCTCAAAATTGAACAAAATATAATCTCCTGCTTTAGGAGCAAAAGCCCAAAATATTTCTAGTCCATTGTAAGCCTTTTCTAGAGTAAACTGCTGAAATACTTTTAAGCTTGTTTTCATTTTTGCAGGAGGATTGATATGTTTCTTAAATAATGATGTTTTGACAAAATCTTCATCCTGTAAAATATAGATGTATATTCACATGTAAAAACACTATTTTACAAAGTTTTGTCAAAAACAATAATGCACATATTATAATCTTGGAATATAATGAGAATTGGGAATAACCTGCTAAAGCCAATATGGGGAAGATTCAGAACTGATATAAAAATAAGTGTCCATTGCTAAGCAGAATAATGGAAAAACAATCAAACTTGCATTGTGATATCACAATCCAAACCGCAACGTGTCCTCATGTCCTTACATCAGGCTAAGTAAATCATGGGATTTTTGTTGCAACATCACAATCTATGTATCACCATTCCCCATCACCAAACTCATAGTTGCCTGTGATAGTACCATATTTACTGAGTACCGGTAATTATAGTCCCCCAAATAATTAGTTGTCAATTTATCAAATTACAGCTTTTCCTACTGATAAAGACAGAAGCAGCTGTTGGAAACAAAGAAATAGGCAGAGGTACAATAGACTGCAAAGACTTCTACTGAAGAATGTAGATGTTTAATTTTGTTCCTGAGTCTTTTTCTTTCCAGGTGCTTTTTTTTTAACCCCATCTCCAGCCTTCCCTTTCTTTTCTTTTCATGCATATATAACTGTGTTTCTGCGTGTCAGAGGAAAAATGGTTGGTTTATGCAGATAAAATCAGTTCAAACAAATAACCAAACAAATAAATTATAACTGCATTCAGGGTCCTGGGAATTCACACCACAAGGAACTAAAGGGAAACCAAATGAAAGACTATTTTTTCATTTGTGTCACATTTCTGGGTTCCCTAGAGATATCTAGTTGACATTCTGAGAACAAATTGTGGGAGTCTTCATGTCTTTAGTCTGATCCGGTATAACTTTTCTATATAAATTAGTTAAAAGCAGTGGTGAAGTCCTCCATGGATTGCCACCAGTTTGCTGCCCGCGCATGTGCACTACATGCATGCATGCACAGTGCGTGCCAAAAGCACACTGCTCACACATGCGCAGTGCATGCCAAACGTGTGCTTCGTGGGGAAAAAGAAGACTTAACAAGGTAAGTAGAACAGCGAGGATTTCCTGCTATCTAGCAAATATAAATCTCGTGATATAGCTGATTGTCGGAAATACCGGTTTGGATGAAACGGTTGCATTTTTTTACATTTATCACTACCGGTTTGCCTGAACCGGTACGAACTGGTTGCATTTCATCCCTGGTTAAAGGGGAATGAGAAACGAGAAATAAAAGCAAACTACCATAGATACAAGGGGATCAAGTGTCCAGTGTAGTTACATTTTTGACCATTTATTTGGTAAACTCCAAATTAATAAGGTTGCTTTATTTGAAAAGACAAAATCCTAATTCTTGAGCAGTTCCTTCCTACCAAACCATTGGCATTTTAAAAGGCCAACTTAAATGCTTCTTGACTGGAGCCACAGTTACTGGTAATTTTATTTTTCTGTGAAAACTTAACTAGAAGAAATGTTTCATTATCTTCAGAAAATAATGAAATCAGAAGCAAATAAACAAAAAAGACATCTTACTCTCAACTTCTGTGTTTTTCCAGTTAAAGAAGAATGAAATCCCACATGTTGAAAAAGTGATGGTTTATAACGGATGCGTAAATTAGACTTCCGGCTTTCACAGTCTTTCTGGAAAGGAAAACGTTTTGTGTCATAAAAACCAGACAATCATATTTAACAGAATTTTATCTGAACATTTATTATTCTCTTATATACAGTCTCATAAGAAGAATTACGAGATACTCTGTATTAGTATTATATTAATAAACAGAGCTGATGTAATATCATACTATAATCACAAGTATTCCTAATCTTCAAGTAGATTAGAAGATTTTCAGCCTTTGTGAGGAAAATAAAATCTGGCAGTGATTAAAGCTTTACCAGAAATACTAAAACCTCGTGGAAGCAAACTTAGAAGCAGGGTTTGTCTAAGGATAAATGTGGGATATGTAAGTAAGATAAATGCCATCAACTTCTAGAACTATTTTCTTACAATTTATATAGAAAGATAGATTATTTTTATCTTTAATTACTACATGGGTTACACGTTGGCAATAACATCACAGGGAGCAAATCATCAAAATAACTGTACTATACACCTGTGTCAGTGGTGGGATTCAACCGGTATAACAACTGGTTTGCTGAGTGCATGCACGCCACACACGCACAGTGCATTTGAAAAAAGCTCTAAAACTTACCTTCTGCAGCCCTAATGAATAAAACAGCTGAGGCGTGGCAGTCTGCTCTGCCACGCCTATCAGCTGGGCTTCAAACAAGGGAAATATAGGTCAGTATAGCACAGGGGTGGGCAGGCGGGCCCACCTGATTGTCAGAGCTATCAGTTTACACGTATCGGTCCGAATAGGCTGAATCCCACCTATTTGCTTTAAAAGCAATGTGTGACTGAAGTTGCTTTAATAACAGAGAATAACACGCCAAACATGTCCTCTGATAGTGAGGCCATCAATGATTTTCAGAACAACTGGTTGCTAGTGAAGCAATATTCAAATTCTAGCTGAGCAAGGGTGGCAAGGATTTAGAGATGATAGAATTTTGCACCAGATCAGCAGTGATTTGCCATCTGCATCATGCAATTGTGTTTACAGATGGAGGGGAACAGTAAAATCATGTCACGGCATTCAAATGAATAATAAACAGAAGAAGAAGGAAAAATTGAGAAGGGGTGGAGAATTGAGGTGAAGAGAAGGTAATGAGAAAAGTGCTAAAAAAATGTCATAAGGCTTAAACTTTGAATGAAGTACATATTACTGTGATGACGAACCTATGGCACGCGTGGGCACGTGGGCACACACGCCGTCGCCAAGTGCTCTTCTGGTTTCTGGCGCACCAGCCACCTGGTATTTGCGCATACTGGAGCACTGGAAACCTGAAGATCAGCTGGCCAATGCACATGCGTGCGCCAGAAACCCACATGCTCCATGTGCACGTTTTCCGGTTTGGGCACTCGGTGCCGAAAAGGTTCGCCATCACTGGCATATTAGGTCTACAGATGTTTTAGTTTTGTGCATTAGCACTTACAAAGCATTAGCCAAGTAGAGGTGGGATAAAGATGTGAGAAATGTATTAAAGGTTTATGCCTGATTTTAACTAATCTTGCTGGAAAAACAAAATATATTTTCTTGGTTAATGCTGCTCAAGCAATACATTAGTTATAATATTAAAAGTAAAAAATTGAAAAGCCCATGAGAGATGAAAACTATCCTATCTTTTATAAATATAAATTCTAACCCAGATGTTAATACAAAATACATTGATCAATCCCAATTTTGAAAAGCAATAGTTAAGTATTTGAATCTAAATGGAATACTGTATTGAATGCACATACCCTGTTCCCCCGAAAATAAGACCCAACCGGAAAATAAGTCCTAGCATGATTTTTCAGAATGCTTGTATTTTAAGGCCTACCCCCAAAATAAGCTCCAGTTAAAATTGTCAGCCAAATGGGTGCATTTAGTACCGTATTTAGACCTAACCAGAAAATAAGCCCTAATGCATCTTTTGGAGCAAAAATTAATATAAGACCTGGTCTTATTTTCAGGGAAACACAGTATTTAGACAAAACAGATTTAAATGCTTTTTAAATTAAAATATTTACATCCATTCTTTTTCTAATGAATTAAGTTAGCAACAGTTAAAAGCAATACAGGTAATCCTCAATTTACAATCATTGAAAATGGAATTTTTATATGTTATAAAATAAAAAACTTGCTGGAGAAAAAACTTACTACCAAAATTTCTGTTGTTAAGTAAAACATTTGTTAAGTGAGTTTGCCCCATTTTACGACCTTTCTTGCCACCGTTCTTAAGTGAATCACTGTAACTGTTAAATTAGACAAATTGTTAAATAAATCTGGCTTCCCCATTGACTTTGTTTTTCAGACGGTCACAAAAGGGGATCATGTGACCACAGGACACTGCAACAGTCATAAATATGAGCCAATTGCCAAGCATCTGAATTTTGATCACATAAACATGGGATACTATAACAGTCATAAGTGTGAAAACCAGTCATAAATCACTTTTTTCAGTGTCATTGTAACTTTTAACAGTCACTAAATGAACTGTTGTAAGTCAAGGATTATCTGTACAAATGGAATAATACTGTAAATTAAAATGGAATTTATTAAACAACTTGAAGGAGAAATCATAGCCCAGGATATACAGTATTTATATTTTCAGTATAATGAAGCATGCATTTTTTATTATACAATGACTTAATTGTTGGCACTAAAATTTCAGGAAACTGGTTAATTTATAAATCAGTTTTAATACAAAATGGTATTATTATAATTTCTCCTTAAAATGTGTCTCTCTTGTTTTGTGCGTGTCAATGTGTTCTGTGTACATACATACATATAGTTATTGTTAATAAATAGAGTACTTACTCCATTTTTCTCTGGATTACAAACTTTAACCGAAATTAAGTGGTCTAGTAGCCAGTCAATTGGTTTATCTTTGTAGAACATTAAAAAAAATTCTACTATCAGTGGTAAGTCTTTGCATCGGAATAATTTTCCTGAAAATGCAATTTTTTTAGAAAAAGGAAAAGAGAATCATAATTCTATTTACAACACAGTAGTTTATTAACTTTGTTGTCTAGATCTATCCATTACTAACAACTTGGATCTAGTTACATTTAGTCTATTAATTACACTTACATCAATCGTACATAATTCAAGTTCTATTGATTCTAGTAGTTTATTTAGAGTATTGCAAAATCTATAATCAATCTATTGTCTATAGAAAATACATTCTGTCTAAAGAATAGAAAATAGTAATGACTCAAGTAATTTGAGTAAGCATTAAAATATTAACACAATTAATAATTTCATGTATTTATTGCCCCTCATTTGTATTGACTCTGACCTCATTTCTTTGTTTGAAAGAACATTTTACATTTTTATTTGCTAAAATAGCAGCTACTACAGCAGCTCTTGTCTCCCAGATCCAAGCAAAGAGGCTTTGATTTTTTAAAATCTCATTTTCAAGATGCTTTTAGATTGTTTATTTTATTATTGTGAGATGGCATAGGATGATGATAATTCCATTTTTAATTACATCTCTCTCCATTGTTTTTAACATTTCTAGCTACCTTTGCTTCCTAAACAGAAAAAAATGAAAGCAGTACCCTAATGTCTTCACTTAGTATGTAATTGAAATATGAGAGGTTACAGAAACCTGTAGAGATTATTCAGCAGGGAAAGACACTCAACTCAAACACATATGAGCTGCTTAGCACTTAGGCAAATGCATGAATATCGAAACCAGCCCATGAAGATTTAAAGGGACTTAAAATTATCTCCTAACACATAAAATTTAATACCACAGATTATTTTTAAAGTAAGAATGGTTTTAAAAAGTCAAATATAACATTCAGTTTATCTTTATATTCATTTTATCAACTATAAATATTGAATAATCTCTATTACCAACAAGGATAAATCCTAAATGATGGAGACTTTTTTTTGTGCTTGGATGAGATCTAGACAATTCATTATACAACTCCACCAGTTATTTTCTTTCATGATCCTCTGGAAATTCCATAACATGTAAAAAGTGTTGGGTTTTGTTTTTTTTTTTTTGAAGCACATTGATTTTTACCTGAAAAGTCTATATTTTTTTTATTATGAATAAACCTTATTGAATTCCATGAGACTTCCTATTACTGTACATAGCATAGTACAGAAACACCTGATTTGGAATAATATTTTATTGGATTGTTGTTTGCTGCTCAGAGTGCTTTTAGTGAAATGGGTGGCCATACAAATTCTATTAATAAATAAAAATATATTGTGGAAAATGGCCACCATCAAATATTTAATAATATAATTTTGCTGCTGAAAGAAAATGTGTCCACATATTCTTATTTAGGCTGATCTTTGTGAACTCTTGACAATATTTATTTATTTTTATTTATTACATTTATATACTGTTGCTGTACTTACCAATAAACCCAAGCCGAGAAAACTCAAGAACTATCCATTCCTGTGATAACTTTTGTTCAATAAAGTAATTTATTGTATATAAATAGCGAGGGTTAGCCACAATATCATCTTCTAGCTGAAAAAGAGATTATTTTTACTAGCAAAATCATAGATACTAAGACTCTTAATTGAATTTTTCTTCCAGAAGAAACGCAAAACTCCAACAAGAAAAGGATTAGAGTAAGAAAGATTTATGAAAATATGAGAGTTCCATGTGTCATATTGTATATTGGGAAATATCTGTGGATGCAGAATGTACATTATCAATAAAACTGATTTCCAGGAACCACTAAAATGATGATTATGTCAAAACTCAACGAATACCCTGATAAAATACTTAGAATAATAATAAAACATTGATGTATGCATTAATATAAAATTTAAATAAATTATAGTTGATGAAATTAATTGCCAATTAAAAGCTACAACAATGGAAATGACATGATAGCCAGGAAGGCAAATTAGGAGTGCAATCCTTGAAGGATTCCCTGGCGAACAGCATGTGGGAATATTATTATTAACACAGAGGATCCACCAGAGATTGGCAGGGCTACTGGCATGCATATGAAAGCTTACACAAATGCACTTCTATTGGCAATGAACCATTTCCCTTAAGACTAAAACAGAGTATTCTTATCCTGAAGTATATCTGCACTTGCTATTTAAACTATTCCCACTGGGTGCTCAGACTGGCTTGACTCTAAGCTGCTTTAAGAAAACTTTGTCCAGATTGAGATGCTTTTGACAACAGTTGGCAAAATATTCAGTCCAGACTACAGATTACCATATACTCCCACTGGAAAGTTCTCCTACTGTTGTGCCTTCCCACCTGTCTGCTGTAGTCTAGGAAAACAATTGCCAATCACCTGCTTTGTTGGTAGATCCTTTTGGACATGTATACTTTTATATATGTGTACAAAATCAATATACTTTACATATATACAAAGTTAGACTATCCTAATGTACATACCTGCAGAAAAAGCTTTGAAAGCCTCCTTTCTTACTATTATGTTACTTTCTTTTAAAATTTTCTCTACCACAAATACTGTAATAACATAGCAGTTAAAGCATCTATCTTGTAAATATAAGGTTACTGGTTCAAAATCCAGTAACAGCATTATATTTAAATTATTTTTATGTCTCTGATTTTATTAATTCTCCCTGTGCTTTCTTCAAAACTAAATCCAGCAACTGGCTGCCTTTTCTGGCAATGGAGCAACTGGCCATCACAGATAAGCTTTGAGTCAGGGATAAGGAATCACAAAGTACATTTTTGTAAAAGCAACGGGCTGGAACTGGAAGATAAGGCAGAGTGCTACAAGAGGCGGGGGAAGCTAAAAATGGAGCATGCGGAAGCCCCAGGAGGCCAAAAACAGGCCATTTTTTGCCAGCAGAGAGCTACTGGAGGCAGGGGAGGCCAAAAACAGGACATGCGGAGGCCTCCCGGGGCCTCCATGTGGCCAGCAGAATGCTGCAGGAGAACTGGATTGGAGGAGGAGAGCCGCTCACCCGCTGGTCGGACTAGTCTTCAAGTTTCAAGTGAAAGAGATGTGTTACTTTTGGGAAGACTGCGGGATTGCCCCGTCTTCCTGCCAGCCAGCTGGTCTTCAGCGTGCTGCTGGTCAGCCTCCAGGTGTCAAATTCCCACCACCCAGCATCAATTCAGGGGTTCCTTCCCCCCGCCCCCAGGGAACAGAGAGAGACAGAGAGGGGGAGGGAAAGAGAGAGAGATAGACACAGAGAGAGAGGGAGACAGAGAGAGACTTGTTGATTGTAAGTTCCTTGGGGCTGAGAAGAATTGCTGCAAAACAGTTTCCTGAAGTGGACAACTAGACTCCTAAACAACTTAAAAAACGATGTAGTAAAAAGAAAAGTCAACCAAAGGGCAACATGCAAATAAAACCTCTCCAGGAGTAAAAAAAATTAAAGTTTAATTTGTCTGTATTGTTTAATGGATTGCTAAATTGGCCATGCCCACCCAGTCACATGACCACCTAGCCACGCCCGCCCACCCAGTCTGAGGGACCATGAGTTGGCCCCCTGTTTAAACAGTTTGAGGACCCCTGCTCTATGCCGTAGGCAAATTTCTTATTAGCCGTAATCCAACCTTCTAACCAATATTATTCTACTTTCCCAAAATGTGTCCTGTTTATTTAACAAACCTCCTCCCTTTCAATTTTTCCACTACACATTGCATTGAATGCTGGCAGGCCAATGCTTCTGTTATTTTTAACCACCTGATCAGTCCAATCCTGAATTACCATAGTATTTAAAACAAAGACTCCTGTGGCATATTAAAAGCCAAACAAGTTTATTTTTATCACCCAAGCTTTTGTGAATCACAGTCCGATGAATTGGATAGTCTTTAAGGTTGGTACCATAATATCCTTTTATCCCACAATGTCCACCCTAAGGCTGGTGCTTCAAACAGTAACATGACTACCACTCTGAAAACAAAATAATATTTGTTCCTTTGTAATACCTTAACATTTTTAATTGAGATTAACTGCACAAATATAGACTTCTCATGAAATAGTGTGTCAAGTCAGCTCCTGAAATGAAATACAACTCAAATGTTCCTGACCGTTGGCTCACATTTTGAATCAAGATACTAAAAGCTAATGAAGTTTTTAATGTTTTCATTTACCTCCCTTGAGCATCGATAAGAAACACTTTCTAGGCCCTACTGAATAAGAGCGCCTCAAAAATGCTTTCAGCTTTGAAATGCACAATTATCTCAGAATGAGGGAGGCCTGAAAGGAGACCGAAAATAATTACATTTCTCCTTAGGTGATGAGGGATTTGGTTGCTTGCACTTATGGCTCCCATACCCTCATTATCTATTCCTTGGCAGAGTTAAAAGTCTCTCAAAGGCCCCTATGGACTCAAGAAAACATGAATGACTGCATGAACTGAAAATATTGACACAAATTTCTCTAAACCACTCTCAATCTTTTATTGATTAATAACACAATTGCTAGATTGTTGTTTTAAAAAAGGGAAAAAATAGCTTGTATGGGGGGAAAGGAAGAAGCAAATAGGCGGGTTAATTGTCTTAAATTGCTTTCTAGCACAACTAGAAGGAAAGAAAGAAGCAACCAGATCTATTCCCCCTTCTTCCCTCCTATCTATTAGAAAAGGATTCTTACTTACACATGTATTCCAGATTTAAAGAAAATATAGCATGAGAATAAGTACCCTTTAATCTCTCTTCCCATGTAAAGAAAAAACAGTGACAAACTATATCTTCTTCTTCCTCCTACTGTATTCTCACAGGTGCAGGGTCCACTTTTCAGATCATTGAGCACCACTGCATGGTCAGCTGCATCTCCAGGGCGCAGGCCCATGGCTTGCATATCTTTGTTGATGTCTTGCCTCTGGAGTGGGTTCTACTTACCTTTACTACTGGTTTGCAATGGGAGCATGCTTCTGTGCGTGCTTCGCTCATGCACACGCGCTTCTGTACATATGCAGATCACCCGTGATGACATCGTGGTGGGTGGGCGAAGCCTCCCACCGGTTTTATTACAGGTTCTATAGAACCGGACCGAATCGGGGGCAACCCACCACTGCTTGCCATCTTTGTTTTGGATGCCCATGAGGTCGCCGGCCACCCTAACCGACGCCTAAATATTGTAGAATCCAGGCACATAATCTTGCACAATTTAGACAGTATAGCCATATATAGTCATGAAACATACCTGTAAATAATATGTTCCTTTTTGTTGGGCATACATCATTAAGAAACTGTAATCCAAATTCTGTTTTGTTCTCCACCTAAACAAACAAAAGAACCCCAGCTTTCTGTCTTATCTATGGTCTAGAAAATAGATGGAAGAATTGACGTGATGAAGTGGTAGTCACTGATTATTGTGCCAAAAAAAATTTCTTGCACTGAAAACAAGGAACTAAAGTAGAAACCTTCAAACTTAGAATTGATCAGTTGTATTGTAAAAAAAAATGATGAAGATGCTAAACATTTAAATCCAGAGACTAATATATATAGTGGACAGAATTTCACCATGTTGTTCTAGAAAAATCTTCATATGCATGGCTTCTTGTATCTGCTTGGAAATGTAGGCAACAGTCTGATGTATGTGTCAGTTTTCCTGGAAAGGGCTAAAGGTAAAGATAAAGGTTCCCTTCGCATATATGTGCTAGTCATTCCCGACTCTAGGGGGCAGTGCTCATCTCCGTTTCAAAGCTGAAGAGTCAGCGCTGTCCAAAGATGTCTCCGTGACTATGTGGCCGGCATGAGTAAACGTCGTGCACAGAATGCTGTTACCTTCCCACCAAAGGTGATCCCTATTTTTCTACTTGCATTTTTTATATGCTTTCGAATTGCTAGGTCGGCAGAAGCTGGGACAAGTAACGGGAGCTCACCCCATTACATAGCACTAGGGATTCGAACCGCTGAAGTGCCAACCTTTTGATTGACAAGCTCAGCGTCTTAGCCACTGAGCCACCGCATCCCTTCTTCTCCTTAAAATTTTTTTCCCCTTAAAAAATTGCCTCAATATGATCCAGACTGCTTTGTCAGTTGTAGTTAATAATGTTTCTTATAGCTTTGATATCTGTATCCCTTCATAGAAAATAGGGACCCGCTAGCTCATCAATATGAAGGGGCACAATTTTGAATTCCACCAGATATATGAATACATTACATCAGGGGTCCCTAACAATTCATCTCTTGTGCACCAACTAAAGCGGGACAAAAACTGGGATTAATTATTTTAAAATTAATACAAATATAAAATTTCAAAACTGATGTTATTCTAAAGCTGACTGTAATAAGTTCCTTTTCATTAATACCCTGCTTATATCTGCCTTCTATTGGTAGCTGCCTTATGTGTTAATCAGAGACAATAAACATGTTTCACTATTATGTTTTATTATAAATTTATTTTATAATGAGCATGTGCAAAAATGGACATGACATTTTAAGAAATAAAATAATCCTAATTTAAAAATACATACAAAAATGCAATCCAAGGATCTTATCATCCCATCTTTCATACCTTACTCTTTCTTTTGAATCCCCAAATGTTTCCTTAAGATTGGAGAAGTCAGGGTAAAAGGATTCATGGGGAGAAATAACTTCCAGAGCACCAGAATGAACTTCATTTGGAAAGCTGAAGAAAGAAAAGAACAATATTTTCTTCCAGTGAGTGTTCAGTTAGGATAATTAGAAGCACTTCAACTGATAGGATTTCAACAGAAGATGGTGCCAATATTATATTTGTGTGGCCCACCGGTGGCCAGTGGAGCTGGCAGCAGAGTCGGACAGTGAGGAGGTTAGGGAGGAACTTGGGCCAGTCCTGAGGACTGGGGAAAGCTTGGACAAGGGCTCTGCATTGGAGGCAGAGAGGGAGATAGACAGCAGCGAGGCAGAGGAACAGCTGGAGCCTATTCCCAGTGTGTGCATGTGCAGAGCTGCCAGAAGACAACAACTCAGAAAGCAGGGTCGACATGGGAGTAAAGCCACACCTTGGAGGTGATTGGCCTGTTCCATAGGAAACAAAAGAGCGCGTCCACAAGCAAACTGGTAGCGACGGGTTTTAGGTTTTAGGTTTAAGTTTAGATTTTTAGGTTTTATTTGATTTATATACCGCCCTACTCCCGAAGGACTCAGGACAGTGAACAGCCACAAGATAAAACACACAAATACAAAATTTAAAAACAAAATCGAATTAAACAATTTGGCCCAAGACAGATTTAAAACACCCCAATAATTAAGAACAGATTAAAATTTACATTTTAAAAGGGAAAAAGGGAAAATTAGGCCAGGCCAGCCTGATGGAATAAAAAGGTCTTGAGAGCGCGGCGGAAGGTGCGCAGATCCGGGATCCTCCATATCTCTGGGGGGAGCTTATTCCAGATGGTAGGTGCCCCCACAGAGAAGGCTCTCCCCCTGGGGGCCACCAGTCGATATTGTTTGGCCGACGGCAGCCGGAGGAGCCCGTCTCTATGAGAGTGTACTGGCCGGTGGGAGGCTATTAGTGGCAGCAGGCGGTCCCGTAGATAACCAGGTCCTAAGCTATGGAGCGCTCTAAAGTTTTGAAACCTGCCCCTGATACACACACACCACACACATATATAAATGTACACAGAGAGAGAGAGACATATACAGTGTATGTATATGAGAGAAAAAGAGAGACGGAGGGAGGGAGAGAGGGAGCTGGGTGACTTTCCGATGAGACCAGTCACTCTCATTTAGCTAAACCATCCTCACAGGATTATTGTTGTTGGGAAAATAGGATGAAGATGTGTTGAATATGTTTTCCGCCTTGAATTATTTGTAAACATAATAAAGGCAGGATACAAATAAATAAATAAATATAATTTTATTAAGAATTTTGATTATAATAATAAAATCTAATGTATCCTTCTCTAAGTTATTCTCTTGGCCTGTCACTTATACATCCACTTTCAATACCTTCTCTATGTTGTCAGGTAAAAAAAATTCTATATCTTTCATAACTTCCATAACAACTTTTGCACATAGTGTATCCGTAGAAACAGACATCATTACTGACACTGTTGATATGTAGGTACTATTTTCTGATTCCATCATTCAAAAGTCTCCTTCAGAATTTTTATTGTCATAATGATTTATCATTTTATAAGCCTGTATAATATTTAATCTACCTAAATTTTTTTGTCCCCTCTAGTGTCCAGTTTTTGAAATCAAGAAATTGTTTATCTATGTTATGTCTTACAAAAACAAAAACAGTACAGGTAATCCTCAACTTACGATCACAATTGAGCCCAGAATTTATGTTGCTAAGTGAGAAATTGTTAAGTGAGTTTTGCCTCATTTTATGACTTTTCTTGCCACATTTGTTAAGTGAATCACTGCAGTTATTAAGTTAGTAACACAGTTGTTAAGTGAATCTGGCTTCTCCATTGACTTTGCTTGTCAGAAGGTCACAAAAGGGGATCACATGACTCCAGGACAATGCGTTGTAAATATGAACCAATTGTCAAGCATCCGAATGTAAATCCCATGACCATGGGAATGCTGCAACCGTCATAAGTGTGAAAAATGGTCGTAAATCCCTTTTTCAATCCCATTGTAACTTCAAGCGGTCACTAAATGAACTGCTGTAAGTTGAGGACTACCTGTATCTATTTCTCATGAGAATCTGTTTGTACATTATAATTCATTCCAAAATTTTATTGTAAAAGTTTCAATATTCCAATTTTGTCTGGACCCTTAGTCCATTTACAACTTTATAAGATCAAGATCAAAATCTTCTTTAACATTTTACTATTTATTTCAGATTCTTCAAATTCTTAACCTTATGATTAAAATATTTTTTAATCATACTCATTTTCAAATTTGTCATACAAAAGGTCTCCAATAGTTTAGAAATTAATGAGCAAAGTGGTTAGAAAGTGAGATAAAAGTCTTTTCCCTAGTTGTAAGCAACATGGCTACTACTACCTTGAGGTAACTTGGATGGACTACAAATGTTATGAATGAATGAATGAATGAATGAATGAATGAAAGAAAGAAAGAAAGAAAGAAAGAAAGAAAGATCATCTCCATGGCATAGGGCCTAGCTATCTCCAAGACTGCCTGCTGCCACCGACGACCTCCCATCGACCCGTGCGCTCCCACAGAGAGGGCCTCCTCGGGGTGCCATCAGCCAAACAATGCAGGCTGGTGACCCCCAGGGGGAGGGCCTTCTCTGTGGGGGCTCCCACCCTCTGGAATCAGTTGCCCCCTGAGATAAGGAGAATCCAGGACCTCAGTGCCTTCCGCCGTGCCCTTAAAACCTTCCTTTTCCAACAAGCCGGGCTGGCTTAATTCTTTTTAAGTGTTTTTAATTGTTTGGTTTATTGTTTTAATTAATGGGGCCAAATTTATATACATTTTTTTTTAACTGTATTTTAATATTTGTATTTGATGTTTTTATTTGGCTGTTCACCGCCCTGAGTCCTCAGGGAGAAGGGCGGTATACAAATTCAAAAATAAAAATAAAAAAAATAAAATCTCCCAATACTCAAGTCAATAACAAAATGCCATGCAGTCCTGCAATCACAATATAAGGAACAGCTGTCTGGAGACTATTGGCGGGGGTGGAATCTGCCATCCTCTCCTTATCACGAGAGTTTCCAAGGAACCAGGCTCCTCACTGGTTCTCTTGTCTTTGCTGTGGTTCTCAGTTCGCCATACCTCCTCCGGAAGCCTAATACCTGCGTTAACTCAATTTAGATTATGGAACTAAGGGCATGCAGTCCCTGACATTACATAAAAGCAATTTGCCTCTTAGAATGAGTGAAACCTCAAAGATAAAGATACAGATTAAACATTAGGAAGAACATTTTGGTAGTGGAATCAGTTACCTCAAGGAGTGTTTCTTCCCATTCAATCTGAAGATAGTCATTTATTAGGAATGTTGTAGTTAATCCTGCAGTGTGCATGGGAGCGGACTTGATGACCTCTTGGGTCTCTTATGATTCTGTGAATGAATCAGGTCTCTTCTACTATCTTAAATTGAATTATGTATAATGAGTGTGTTTGTGTGTGAGCATGTATATGTGTTGAGGGTAAAAAAAAGGAAGTTCATTCTGCTCCTGCTATTAGAAGGTTGAACTGCTGAAAGGAACTGTGTCTGTGTTACTGAAGAGAACTGGAATTGTAAGCAAACTATGTTTTTGTGTTGAACCGTGATTATTTGAAGAAGTGTTATCTTTGTTTTGAGAAGCCAAGTTTGGTATTTTTTACTACAAGTAAAGACTGTTTATTTTTCTTTAAACATTCAGAGTCTGTGAGTATCTGTGTGTTTTGCTAAGCAACATATCTATTCGCTGTCTGGTCCATTGCACTACTTTGCAGAGGGCAGTTTTACCCTCAACAATATGTACACACACACACACTACCCATATACTTTGTCTATCATCTACAATTTTTAAGTAAAGGTAGCAGTACAGCTTAGAGAATTTTCAAAAATTTTTAAAGGTAACATGCAATTAATTTCACATTACACAAAATTTAGTATTAGTGAATTTTTAAGCAATACCTATCACATATTTTCAGATTTTTAAAGATTTACCTTTTTTTAATGCTTCCCACAATGCTATTAACGTATGTTGAGTTCACCTAGAAAAATTAAAGAAAATTTCAGAAATGTTATTTTCTGAAACCCAATTTATTTATTCTTCATAGTCCCTTCTTTTTCATCAAGAATATACATAAAAGATCCAATCTGGCTTGGTCACTGGGATCAGAGAGTTAGTCTTCCAAACTTTTGGACTCATGCTGGAGCCCATCCTCAGGGAATGTCTCTCTAGCAGAGCATATCTAATTTTCCATTATACTATTATTAAGATTATTGTAAAATGTAAAGTACATAGTATTATAGCTTTAAATTGTCTTCTTAAACTGAAATATTTGATCAAAATTGACACATACTGAAGACACAATACACAGTTGTTGAAATTCATTTTTCCCCATTAATCTACACTCAGTATTCCATAATGACAAAGTGAAAACAGAAGTTTAGAAATCTCTGTAAATTTATTAAAAAGAAAAAACTGAAATATCACATTGGCATAAGCATTCAGACCCTTCACTTAGTACTTTGTTGAAGCAATTACAGCCTCGAGTCTTTTTGAGTATGACACGATAAGCTTTGCACACCTGGATTGGGAGATTTTCTGCCATTCTTCCTTGCAAATAAATCTTCTCAAGCTCCTACTCAGTGGAACAGGTTTTCATTGAGGATATCCCTCTACTTTGCTCCATTCAGCTTTTCCTCATCCCTGACCCGTTTTCCAGTCTCTGCTGTTGAAAAACATTGCCATAGCCATGCTTCACTGTTGGGTGATGAACAGTGCCTGGTTTCCTCTAGACATAATGTTTAGAATTGAGGTTCAATCTTGGTTTCATCAGACCGGTGAATCTTGTTCCTCATAGTCTGAAAGTCCTTCAGGTGCTTTTTTCCAAACTCCAAACAGACTTTCATGTGTTTTCCGCTGAGGAGAGGCTTCTGTCTAGTCACTCTGTCATAAAGCCCAGATCAGTGGAAGGCTGCACTGATGGTTGTCCTTCTGGAACTCTGTCCCATCTCCACACAGGAACTCTGGAGCTCAGTCAGAGTGACCATCGGGTTCTTGGTCACCTCTCTTACTGAGGCCCTTCTCCCCCAATTGCTCAGTTTGACCTGCTGCCCAGCTCTTGGAAGAATCCTGATTGTGCCAAACTTCTTCTATTTGAGAATTATGGAAGCCACTGTGCTCTTAGGAACCTTCAGTGCAACAGAAATTTTACTGTAGCCTTCCCCAGATTTGTGCCTTGCAATAATCCTCTTTGAGCTCTGCAGGCAGTTCCTTTGATCTCAATGGCTTTTGTTGTGCTACAGTATGCATTGTCAGCTATGAGTGTGTCTTTCCAAACCATGTCCAATTAATTTAATTTACCATAGGTGGACTCCAATCAAGGGGTAGAAACATGTCAGCAATGATCAAGAGAAATGGGAGGCACCGGACCTAAATTTCAAAGGGTCTGAATACTTATGCCAATGTGATAGTTCAGCTTTTTCTTTTTAATAAATTTACAGAGATTTCTAAACTTCTGTTTTCACTTTGTCATTATGGGGTACTGAAAATAGATTAATGAGAAGAAAATTGGCAAAAGTGAAGGGGGTTTGAATACTTTCTCAATGCACTTTATTTGGTTCAAAACCAAAGTAAAATAATAAAGTAGATGTATAGGGTTGTAGAATATAGTTGGACTGCAAAATATGCAGAAAACATCCTGGTAAATTTGCTAAAAGCTTGCTATAAAGCCAAAGCCAATAAACTGCATTTGAAGATGCTTAATGCCTAAATTGAGGTATAGTAGGAAGAATATATGTTACTTGCTTAACAATCATTAATTCAGTGACCATTCAAAGTTACAATGGTGCTGAAATAATGGTAGTGACGACTGATCCTCAACGTCATGGCCATTGTAGTGATCCTGCAGCCACATAATCAAATTTTTTCATTGTTCACAGCCTGTCCCCATTTACAAGCACAATGTGTACTTCAAATCATTTTCCTCTTCCTCACCCTAGTCTCTGCCCTTTTGGCTGCCTTCCAATCTACCACCTACTCCTGCTGCGATGAAGGGCCAGCAGATGCCTCAGCACATTTTGTCAGCAGCAGAAAGAAGAAGATGGCAAAAGTCAACTGGGGACCAGGGCAGTGGTGGGTTGCTACCGGTTCTCTCCGGTTCTTGCAAACCAGTAGTGGAAATTTTGAGTAGTTCGGAGAACCGGTAAATACCACCTCTGCCTGGCCCTGCCCCCAATCTATTCGCTGCCTCCTGACTCCCAGCTGATCAGCTAGAAGGAAAAAATCAGGGCTCACTTGACAAAGAAGAGGAAAAAAAACACAAGACACCATTACTTTAAATTGAGAAGCCAAGAAGCCTCCCAACTGATTGGCTAGAAGATAAAAATCAGGACTCACTTCTCAGCCAGGCAAAGAAGAACAGAAGAAAAAAAAAGACTCTGTCGCTTTAAATTGACAAGCCAAGAAGCAGCTGCTGGAAGGAGGTTTTTACTTGCAGAAGCAAAGTGACATTCAGCAATTAATTTCTGGGGCAGCTGAACAACAAACTGGATAAGAGGAGGGATTCTTATATGGTCCTATGTTTTTGAAGTTTTGGGGTTTGTGCAACATGGGCTTTGTGTTTTTAAAAAGGTTTGGGCGATTTCCATTGTGAAATATCCTGTCTTGAATTAGTTTTCTGCCTGCTTGTAAATGGAGCCCAACTTCCGGCTTCCACTTTCTATTATCTCTAAGCACCGGTAGCTGTTTTCTTCTTGCAAAGTTTCCTTTATGCAGCTGGCTGAAATGTGGAATGAGTATCAGGCAGGTTCCTTGTTAGCAGCTTGATTTTTCCTTGCTTTTCTGGGAGCCTTTTCTCATGAGTAATATTTTATTTGGGGAAATGAAGAGGGGGGAGTTTGATTCCTTTCCAGAGCAGGTTAGTGGGGTAGGGAGGGAATGGGGATTTTGCAGTATCCTTCCCCTGTCATGCCCGCCACGCCACATCCACCAAGCCACACTCACAAAACCAGTAGTAAAAAATTTTGAAACCCACCATTGCATAAATCCATCTTAATATGCTATTCCTGGTATGTGATGTTTTGTATACGTACAGAGAAAGAAGCACTCTTGTAATCTTTGACTTTTAGGCTTGCTGTCAAACATCAGCCATAATACTAACAACTCCATTAGTATTATACTAATACTACTTTTGAAAAATATGCAGGTTGTATTACACGAATGGCTATTTTATATGTGAAATTATGACTGAAATATTTCTGCATCTATATTGGTTCACACTGTCAGGAAGTTTCTCCTTAGTTTTAGATGGCTTCTTTCTTTGTTCAGTTTCCATCCATTGCTTCTTGTTTTGGCTTCTGTGCTTTGGAAAATACATTGCCCCCCCTTCTTTCTGGCAGCCCCTTAAAAGCCTGTTGCCTATCACACTCTTGGGCAAAGCATGTGAGCCATTTCCTCCTTTCAGTGGTCCATGAAAGTGCATCTATAGTATGTAGACAATAAAGTTGAAAAAAGGTGAACAATATTTTTACAGAACTATAGATATGTTGAGGCTGGGTGTGACAAGGAATGGCTGGGAGGGGAGGGCCAAACGAGGCACCCCTTGATGTGAGTGACATTGAGTTGGCGACGCCTACCCAGTCACATGACCATCAAGCCACGCCCACTGTCACATGACCATCACGCCACGCCCACAGAACCAGTAGTAAAAAAATTTAGAACCCACCCCGGACCAGGGGACGGGGAGGTGGTAGAGTTCAAGGTTGTAGAAAGGACAGAGATAGAGGGAGAACAGTACGAGGGGGACTTGAAGTGGAGGTGAGGGCAACAAAGCAGGAGAAGCATCAGGTCCTCACCTAACTACCACACAGTCCTTGCCAAATTACTGCAACTGTGACTATCAGAACTGCCGTTGCTAAGCAATGCCATCATGTCATGTTTTCCTTAATAATCACTTCACTTAGCAATGGAAATCCCAGTCCCAGTTAGGACAGTTAAGCAAGGATTACTATATTGGCAAACTCATTGTATATGCAATTCCTTCAATAGAATGCAACTTAAGTTATTAATATGTAGTACTATGTTTAAAATAACCTGATATTTGAAAATGAATCTGACACAGAATTTAATTTACATAAAAACCTTTTCTGGACTATAACTCTACCCATGAAAATTATGGTTTCTCTTAACATTTAAATCAAAATTATTAAATAAGGAAGGTTTCTTATTAATTGCAATTTATAAAGAATTATACTGCTGTTGATACTTTCATAATAACTTGATTTTATTAATGAACTGATATCAATTTAATATTACTTAATGGGTTTAGTGTCTATTTTCATATAATTACTAAAGGTAGATGACTGTAATGGAATTTTATTAGTATAATTTTCATGTCATTTTAAACATTAAAAGATATATACAGTATACCCCATGTTTTCCCGAAAGTATATTTTTTTGAACCCTGAAATAAGTGCTTGGCCTTATTGACATGCACTCAAAAGCCCGATTGGGCTTATTATCAAGGGATGTCTTATTTTGGGGGAAACAGGGTAAAATAAAAACTGTCCCTTATATGAATACTGTGTTGTTGCTATAGCAGTTGCACTGGCATATCTTCTGAAATACTCATCCTCTACCAGTGGTGGGTTTCAAAATTTTTTACTACCGGTTCTGTGGGTGTGGCTTGGTGGGCGTGGCATGGCTTGGTTGGTGTGGCTTGGTGGGCATGGCAGGGGAAGGATACTGTAAAATCTCCATTCCCACCTCACTCCAGGGGAAGGTTACTGCAAAATCCCCATTTCCTCCTGATCAGCTGGGATTTAGAAGGCAGAGAATAGATGTGGGTGGGGCAAGTCAGAATGTTTACTACCGGTTCTCCGAACTACTCAACATTTCCACTACCGGTTCTCCAGAACTGGTCAGAACCTGCTGAAACCCACCTCTGTTCTCTACTATATAAATTCAATATATGATATCACATTATAATCCATCCCTTCAACATTTTCAATAGAAATATTGCATCTACAGATGAGGAATAATTTAAAACTGCATTTTTCAAATTCAATAATTATTTGTAATGATTTTGAATATCATAATATAATCTATAATAAAATATAAAAAGTAGAGTGGTTAAGGCATCTGGCTAGAAATTGGAAGACTGTTGAATTCCAGTTCTACTTTATACTCAAAGCCAGCTAGGTGATTTTGGGACCAGACACTTCTCTCATCTGTAGGAAAGAGGCAATGCCAAACAACTTCTGAAATCTTTCCAAGAAAACTGCAAGGGCAGCCAGGAATCAATGGTGACTCAAAGATACATACACAAATGCACACAAAATATAAAGGAGAGAACACAGCACTTACAAAAGGACCTTGAACATGTTGATGGAGAAAATGAAATTTAAAAATCTTTCCATAAACTCTAATTAATATTCAGTTGCAGAGTACTAATATAATAATGGATATAAATTACTATATTTCCTTAAACTACTATATTTCCTTTTTGTTATCTTAAATGAATAATCTCATTTTATCTTACCTCTGCTATAAGGACAATTATCACACAATTTTTCTTCTGATATATAGACATTCCATTGAAAAGGGAATTCAATGTACTCATCAAATAACTTTCCTTTTTTCTTCGCACTGATGATATACCAATTACTAGGAATACTAACATACAGAAATTATTTTATTTCTAAAATAATAGCAATATCTAAAATAAGCAACTGTCAAAATAACAAAACTTATTATTATTTGGGAACTTATAAAGAAGTCTGTACAATCATTTTTTGAAAAACATATACAGGTAGTCCTCAACTTACAAAAGTTCATTCAGTGACTGCTCAAAGTTACAATGGCCCTGAAAAAAATGGCTTATGACTATTTTTCACATTTACGACTGTTGATGTATTTCCATGAACACGGGATCAAAATTCAGATGCTTATCAATCAACTCATATTTATGATAGTTACAGTGTCCTGGTGTCATGTGATCACCTCAACTTTTGCAACCTTCTGACAAGCAAAGTCAATGAGGAAGCCAGATTCACTTAACAACCATGTTACTAGCTTAACAACTGTGATTGACTTAACAACTGTGACAAGAAAGGTTGTTAAAATGGTGCAAAACTCACTTAACAACTGTCTCGCTTAGCAACAGAAATTTTGAGCTCAGTTGTGGTCATAAGTGGAGGACTATCTGTAAAAAGAAGTGAATATAAAGTGTATGTATAGTATCTTGATTATTTCAATAATTCACAAATAATATAATTTTTCATAGATCATTCCTTGATTTTTTTCAATTTATAAGATACATATACCCAAGAAATCTATCTTGTATTATTTAGGTGCTTTACAGACGTTACTCTACTTACGAACTTTCAAGTTATAAACTTTCACCAATACAAAAAAACCTGTGCACAATTCAACTTAGAAGTTCCCAAAGTTAAGAGAAAGCAGGAAAGAGTTAGTTTACAGCACACCACATGTCTGTGATGCACCATAAATTAATGCTTTCCCACTTTCTTCCAACTTCCACTCACAACTTCCATTTCCTGATCCTCCCTCATAATGTCTGTTGCTACTTAAGTAAGGTAAGAGCAGCATACTGCACAACAGTGGTGGGTTGCCGTTGGTTCAGACCGGTTCACAAGAACCGGTAGTAAAACCGGCGGGAGGCTCTGCCCACCAACCCGGACGTCTTCAGGAAGCTTCTGCGCAAGTGCGCAGTCCCGTTGCAAACCGGTAGTAAAGATAAGTAGAACCCACCCCTGCTGCACAAGTTTTTTATACTTGTTTGGACTTATAAACAAAATGGGCATATGAATAGCCTCTCAGAGCCTAACCTCTTTGTAAGTAGAGGAATATCTATATTTTTAAGTACCTGTTGTTGTTTCTGTAATTTTTTATAGATGTCAGCAGGAAATATTATGTGTATCTTAATAGTGCTATATTTCCACCATCTCAATAGAATACTGCAGTAGCTTTGTGCAAAGCTGTTGACAACATACACTTTTATGGAAATTAATCACTAGTAAACTAATGTGATTTGACCTGGAAGAAGTAGGACTAGTATGCTACTGAGTCAAATAGATTACCAATAAATTTGGGCAATTTGCCACTTTTCAGGTTAAACTTTCACTTGAAGTTAGTGAAAGAACAATAGAATAATAACAGTTATCTAAGCAGTGCACTAAACGAAAGGGAAAATGTAACCATCCAAGCTTATGTATTTTGTTTTCATCTTTAATTTAGGATTTTAAGCAATTTTCTAAGAGGGTTTCTTCATATAAGCAACTAAGCGCAGCATACTTTCAAATGTGGACATACTGTATCATCTCTTATGTTCACAGATTTGTTTTTATCTGATAAACACACTCAAATGAATAATGTAGAAACACTTAAACTGCCCAGAAATGTTTATGTTTGCACAATTACACAATTGACACACATGCAGAAACTCTCTCTTCTATATTAAATTTTATTCTCACCCCCAGTTCTGCTCTGCCCAGTTATGATTTTTGGGTAAATAGCGTCTTCATTTTTCTGTAGATGAGGCAGATAGTAGGAAATAGTTGTAGGATGTATTGAGAGTTTGCTGGAAAGGTTCAGAACTTTCCACTCCATGTAATCTTTAAAAGAAAAGGAAGATACTGATAATCCAAACATAAACAATTAACTGTCTACAATATCAAGATGCCATTCTCAAAGTGCTGGTAAAACCCGGTAGTGTGATAATATGACAGAATATCAAGGGTGCGTTCTATAAACAGTAAAGTGTATATGATAATTTAAGAGTTATCTCCAAATTACTTCTTTTCCAAAAATTTGAGTACTATAATTCCCACAATTCATAGGCAGCATGGTTAAAAAATGGGAATTCTACAAATTTAGTACCAGTGTGATACAGGACATCAGACTGGGATATTAAATTATAAGGCCGCTATTTTTATGCAGGCTTTTCTTAGTACATTGTTAAATTTAAAATTTATCCACTCACTAATCCTGTTTCACATATAATAATACATCATTAAGATTGACCTTACAATATACTTTTTAATCCTTTCTATGGATGGAATTGACTCTTAGCAATAATACTCTACATGTAAAATTGAAGATGTGCTATGCATATTTTCCATGCTAACACTGTGTATCCATTTGAAACTAATGGTGCTAGTTGATTGAGGATCTTATACAGTACAAAGAAGGAAGGAAAATAAGATTTCATTTTATATGCCAAAAATCAAACATCAATTTTACAGTGGCTTTTCCCCCCTCTAAGTAAATAATAGTTCAGTGCAAGAAAACATGTTTTGTTTATATAAGCAATCATGGGAGTTGCCTATCTCATATATAAAATCTAGGGAGCAAAATCCCTGAATACTAGAAAGGAACTATTGATTACATAAATAAAATGATTAATTAAATCCTTTCACAAAAGCATTTATTTATTTAGTGTTTATATACCACTCTGGATTCAACCAAAATTTTTCCTAGCAGTTTACAGAATAAAAATATAAAAATATCAATAAAGCCAATGAAACACAAACAACTATAAAGCAATAAATATTAGTGACCATTCTTCTCACAAATGTCCTCAACTGTTTCCAGATGGACACAAATGATGGTGCCAATCTAATTTCAAGAAGGAGGGTGTCTCATAACACAGGATCTCCAGTAGAATAACACTCTCTCTAAACACCAGCTCCTTTTACCTCTCTTGCAGATATTGGCAGGAGGCTTGCACTAGAAAAGCTGGGAGGGCCACCTCTGTGCCAAAAAGGCAATTCTGTAAGTACTTTAGTATCAAGCCATATAGATTTTACAGATCAAATCAGTGTTTTGAATTGCACCCAGATACTTTTAGTATCCAATGCAGCATCTGTAAAACCAATATTACATCTCTGCAAATCATGGAGTTGCTCTTTCAGGGAAAGTCCCTTCAAAGGCTATCACCACAGTTTAGAAAGTGATCCTTTCTACAATTCTGTCTTGCCTGTATTCAATTTAGCCTCTTTTGTCCCATTCAGACGGTAAGCACCAATTTTTATTGTATTCTGAATAATACATTCATTTAAAATGTGAAGTTAAACAGTACAAAATAGGATCAAAAAATCCTAAAACAGTAGACTCTTGATTTAACAGATTAAAACAGCAAAGGATATCCATTAAAACAGATTAAAAAACAAAACAAAAAATTAGAATGCCAAATAAATGATGAATGATGCCCCCCCCACAACAGCCATGGAGTTAGACTGTAGTAACATAATTGGAATAGATGATTCATACTGTTAAATTGCTCTTGTGCCTGAATATGACATCATTGGTACAAAGAAGAATCAGTTCAAACAAACATTATGTCTTGATTATTAGTTGTCAGCAGAGATAATTTTGAAGCTGAAGTAACATAATAGTCTTGGCTGATGTGCATAATTTGCATCAACCCTGAAAAGCGAGATCAATACAGTAATTGGCTTCTGGTACTTTCAATGCTAGCAAGAAAGGATCAGTCACACTCACTGCATCTATTTTGTTGGGGAAATGATTTAAATGTGTCTTATTTAAACATGGTGAATTAGACAATTGTTTATATGGAGTTACAGTGTCTGAGTACATTTTAAAGGAAATGTCCCCTTGGCCCTTTACTTCTGAGGAGGAAAATGTCAGACAGCTTACCTGCTGAGGGGGATGTGGGGAACCAGTTATATGCAAAAATGTGTAATTTAATTAGCTTTAAGCATTGTTCCTGCATTTCAGGATATCTCCTGGAGAAAAGAGGAATTGAGGACAGCCTCAGAAAACTTGGTGCCCAACACTTAAAGAAGATTCTAAGATTATTAATGTCCTTTGGGACTATGTTGAACATGCTACGAATGATTGAAACCGCTGAAAAACATTTCTGTGCTCTGCATAGGACCTAATGATGATGATGAGGTACAGTTGTGAGAATAGGCTGGTTCTAATTCGAAACTGCAGCAAAGACCCCAAAGTTAAACTGATGTTAAAAAATAATAATTTTTATAACACTATAATACAATGTTTAATTTAAAAAAATAAAATAAGTTGAAGCCCGAATCAGCAATGATAAGAGCACCATACACTTCAGAAATAGGTTGTGTTACAAGCAGAGAGCAAGCAGCAAACTCAATTTTCAGTGCCATTTTCTAGAACTACTTTCTGAAAGGGCTTTACCGTACTTGGACGTCATTTAGATTTTGATGGGAAAGCCAACTGAAGCTTGGATGTAAAAGTACTGTATCTGCAACTGAACAAAAGTGTTGCGCGGTCCTTCCTTGAAACAAACCCACATTTGGACTTTCAAGTTCGCGGCGTGTCCGAGGGACAGAGTCCTACCAAGATACAGTTGCTTTGCTGCAAACAAGAAGCAAAGAACTTCATATAGAGATCAAAACAAACGATAAAGGCAGAGCGCCCACCTCCTGGAGGGAACCCAGATATCCCGAAAGCTAACAGGGAGCGCACGGTCGGCAGTGGCGCGCAAAAACTTCAGGAGCTGCTTGCCGAGAGAATGGCATCGGCGGGAGTTGAAACTTGGAGCACCCTCTCTATCGGGGCAGCAACTCTCTCTGCCCTTGCCTAATGCTGGAGAGCCGAAAGTTGAGCTCCTCCTGGAGTTCTCCCCTCCAGCGGGGGGGAAAGATTACGCGCAAAGCCCGTCTCCACCGGAGCGCAGTTGGGAACCTTGTAACACAGCCCCCCGCCCCCCGGTTTTCGTTGCTCTCACCTCCAGTCCTGTGGAAGCTGATGTACCACGCCAAGGAGAAGGCTGCGCTCAGGCAGACACACTTCAGGGCGTCTCTCAGCCTGAGCCTCATCTCCCAGCCACCCTGGGAATTCCGCGGCTGCCACGCGCAACAATGGCACGTCGTCCCTTCTTTGTTGCCTCTTGGCAGCGGCGGGGCGAGGGAACGCGCGTCTTCCCAGCGGATCCCAGATGCTCCAAGAGACACAGCCATGGAGCCTTTCCCCCTGAGATTTCCCCCCCCCCCCCACTTCCAAGGCGGCTTCTTATTGGATATTCCGCCTCTCAGATCGCGCAGGTGTGTTGCCTGGGATCACATTTCGCAGAGCTCGTATCCCGGATTTTGCAACCGCGGGACCCCAAAGTCTAAGTTGCTGCGCGAGCAACCAGTTTGCAGCTTTTTCGTTCCTTTGGGAATTGGATCGCAGGCGCCAGGGTCGACTGCGCCAAGTATTATCTTATTCTATACTATAGGATTCTGGAGCAATTCCAAAGAGAGTCTGTGGAATCAGAGAGGAGTTCCCCATAATGTGTCAAGTTGTTACCCCTCTTGCTATCTTATCTTTAGAAAAAAATATTTGACTTAGTGACCAAATATGGAAAGAGGATATCAATTCTAAAAAATAATTCTAAAAAAACCCTATGATTTTTGGACATGTGTGTACCTGTAACATTTTGCAATCCATTCAAAGGAAACTAAACTGTTGTCAGATCTGTTGGCATTGTAGCTGCTGTGTTTATTAAATCTGGATAGGTAAATATATGCCCACTCAGCACTGGTAGCAGCACTAGCCCTGATTCATCAATAAAAAGGTTCAAACTGGGTATTACTTGGTAAGGAGACAAATGTCTAGGCTAGCTGCTAGACTAAGAAAGAGAAAAGAACATCCCAGAATAAGACAGCGGCAAGATCAGAAATGCTGTATTACTAAGAAAATTACATGGAACCCTCCATGGAGTCATCAGGATTACAAATCAAATGAGTCTTTATTCCTTACATAGAAACACATATACAATATATATATACTCTGTAGAAACAAGGCAGGGAAAATATGCATAGCATGGCTTCTAGAATTCTTTCCAACTACTCTTCCAACAATCCCACCCACCTAAGAGGCATCTGTATTTTCTTCTGTATAACAAAACAATACATTTCAGTATGTGTTATCCACTTGTGCTAGTGCATAGGTGGCCACTAAAGAGAACAGGGCAGATTGAATACATTACATTAGGGATCAGGGGACCAAGGAATGGGAGGCATGGAATGGAGAAGTTGCAGCATCTGAAACCACTGCCCAACTATCTCTTTCATAGGAATGCATGGGGTGGAGTGGATTTCTTACTGGAATGCTTTTCTGTGCAGGCTTGATCAGGCTCATTTTTTAATATGGTATTTATTTTTGCTTTCCCTAACATGAAATGCCCTCTTGTTCGGTTATGAAATGCCCTCTTGTGGGTAAGCCACCCACAGACATTGACTGAGATGGGCAGCTATGGAAATTTAATAAATATAAATAAATACTATTAATCGACAGATGAATAGGGTTTAGAGGCCCTGATGTCTTTCCCTCATTCTATTGGTCAGGAATAAAAAGCAACTCTTACAATTGAATGAATGTTCATGGAATGTTTAAGTTATTCTATGTTCACTTAATCAAATTAGATAATTTCATAATAATTCTACAATTTGAACCTAATTGAAGATTTTTAGCATTTTACCATACCATTTTATAAAAATTGTAGGCAGTAGTAGCAATATCTGTTTAGTTCATGTACACAAATGATACACAAATTTTAAAAACTTCATGTGAAATTTTATCAATTTTCAGTGGAACTTGCCAAATACAGTATGAGATGAGTTAAAGGCTTACGTTTCTTGCTTGAAGCTTAGTTTCTCAAGATCAAGATTTATTGTTGCAACATGCCTTTTGAACTTCTAATCATTAATATAATGGAACTTGATGACTATCCTCCTATTAAGCCAGATGTATCTGACAGATCACTGTTCAAGAATACCAATATAGAGGATCATGAGAGGTTTTCACAGAATTTTATGTTGTAGTATTTGTATTTTTAATTTCTTCAACTATAAACAGATATAGAGCAGTACTAAGATGCATGTATGTTCTTCCCATGTAATGTTGGCATTATAGTTTCCAACAGAAACTGAGTGTTAGGTAATTTGGATTCAAGCTAAAACGTTTTATGTAAATTATTATTTTTAGCGCAGGCACTTTTATGCTATATATTAATATCATTAACTTGTTTTGGAACTATCTTCCTGTATTAACAATTTACAATGACAGTTTTACTACCCCTCTTAATAGTCATTATGAATCATACATGATTATTTGTTTATGGTACCCATGAGTGTACTAGAGCGTGTAATGAGTGTGCTTTTGTGGAAACATAAATTGCCTTTCCTATAGAACTTGTGCTGCAATTTCTAGAATAAGAAATCTGTAAGTAAATAGAGAATGAGAACATTAATTTAAAAGAATCATATTATTTGATATCTATCTACTATGGTGTTCATGACTTATATTTCACAATTAAACACAAATTATTAGAATACAGTAATCAAACTGTTTTAAGTTGTAAAGCACTTATCTGGTGGAATGGTATTAATATATATATATATATATATATATATATATATATATATATATATATATATATATAAAATATTTAATATAATGTATATATATATAGATATATAGATCTAGATAGATATAATCTCATATTAATAATTGTGTATAAAATATGTAGTTCAACCAAATGTATCTTGGATTGTAAATGACTGAAGTATCAAGTAGATAACATGAGTATAACTATGCTTGTTACAACTTTATAATCTATGAAAAGTTTTTTTTGTAATTGCCTTAAAACAATGTCATGGAAATAAAATTTAAAATACATTAAAATTTCACATAGTGGCTTTTTAATCTTAACTACTAATTCATTAAAACAAACATAATAATCTTAATAATAATGTAATGAATTACTTGCTGTATCAAAATTTATTGTTGTTACAAAGAGTGCCTGAGAATGACAGCTGTTTAAAGTTGAACAATGGATATATCAGTATCAGAATTCTAGTACAAAATATTTTAAATCATATTAAAAATAGAAAAGTGATTTTTTAAAAATAATATTCTATGGTCAAAAAGAAATTTGATGAAACTGAAGGCATTACACAACTCTGAGCATGTGCTTTGAGAACTGGAAACAGGTCAGTTGAGAAAAGTTTCACTCCAAGTGTTTCTAACTTTTGATTTTACAATTTCAAAACATGTATGTGTAACACATAGAAATTAGAAGGCTTTGCTGAATTTAGCAAATAACCTGGACATAAACATTAACCAAGCTCACAGCAAGCCATTAATTAAATTTTGTCAGAGCCAACCATTTAAACATTTATATGAAGCCAATGAGTGAAGTCATCAGTTATCTGTCAAAGATGGTATTATCAAACTACTGATGATACCCAGATGTTTTTCCTCATCATCTGAAGTAGGAGATGTCAATAATGTAAGGCTTTGCTGGGAGGCATTTTTTATTAATTATCAGTTACCTCTCTATTTTGGGGGGTGGGGGAAGTAATCTATGAAAGAAGAAATACATAGGGTTTTAAAAATAAAACTCTCCTGGCGTTTTATCTGGCATTATGTCTTACCAGATTTGGCTGTTTAACAACTATGATTATTCCTAAATAAGGATAGATTGGCTATGGTAATTCATGGTCTGGTAACCTCCCAACTGGCTCTGTGCCTTCATGGTCATTTGTTCCATGGGTGCAAAAGGCACAGGTTACTTTGCTTAAGAATATATCTATGTCTGAGAGAGAGAGAGAGAGAGAGAGAGAGAGAAGATATGGCAAAATCAGCCTTATATAAACTGAATTGGGAAGTTCATGTAAGCATAAATAAACCTACCTAATTTCTGTGATTTTGAGCTCTAACTAGATTCAGAAACTAATGTAACACATGCAGACAGATGGAAGATGAGGGAATGTACTACATTTAATCGCCACTTCTTGATGCTGGAAATTAATGATTTTTTTGAACTTTTTTTTTTTAACTTCATCATTTCCATCATCCAACAGAAATGACAATCTTAGCAAACAGTTTCCTGATTTGGGGCTGGCTTCAGGGTTGGGGGGGAATAGACTCTGCACAAATGCAATGACCTTTTGCTGTCCCCTGAGAAATCACAAACGCTTGCCCTAAAACTACCAGACAGTGAGGGCTTCAGCACTGCTAACCACATCACTGAGATGTGTAAACGGTAGTAGAGAAAGACAAATGCTTTTGATTTCAGATAGTCGTAGTTCCCTCCACCTCAAGGGACAGCTTTGGTTTCCTGAAACAACTTCCATTCATTCTTTGATTTGGACTCTGACTGGGTAGATTCGGGAGGGAGGATGGAGGCAAGTCTTGAGAATATTACCTGGGAAGAGTTTGATTCTGTGACTCCGGAAAACGTGGACAAGATACTAGGCAGACTGAGTGCAGCCACATGTTTATTGGACCAGTGTCCCTCCTGGCTGGTGCTGGCCTCTCGGGAGGTTACACGAGGCCTGCTCCAGGGGATTATAAATGCTTCCTTGAGAGAGGGTGCCTTCCCCGCCACCTTGAAAGAGGCGGTGGTGAAGCCTCTCCTCAAGAAGCCTTCCCTGGACCCAGCAGTGTTGGCTAATTACCATCCAGTCTCCAACCTTCGCTTCGTTGCGAAGGTTGTTGAGAGTGTGGTAGCGCGACAGCTTCCTCAGTACTTGGATGAATCGGCTTATCTAGATCCGTTCCAGTCAGGCTTCAGGCCTGGATACAGCACGGAAACGGCATTGGTCGCATTGGTAGATGATCTCTGGAGGGCCTGGGACAGGGGTTGCTCCTCTGTCCTGGTCCTATTAGACCTCTCAGCAGCTTTTGATACCATCGACCATGGTATCATGCTGCACCGGTTGGAAGAGTTAGGGATGGGGGGCACCGTGTTGCGGTGGTTCTCCTCCTTTCTCTCTGATCGGTCGCAGTCTGTGTTGACAGGGGGGCAGAGGTCGACCCCGAGG